ATCACGATCTTATGTATCTCTTGTCAAAATGCCATCTTAGTCCAGTTAGTCTATGCCTACAGGGGTTTACGAGAAAAACAAGCAAGCAGTAATCAAAATTTGTGCCATATTTTTCCATAAAACTTGTAACTTTCTGTGTATGACAACTTGAAAATGTTGTTTTGCTGCCCAGTCCCAGCTAACATTATCTGATTTTTTTGTTCTTACCTAACAAAACCCAAAAGTATTGGAAATGTAATGAATGCAGAGGCCCCTCTGAAAAGCTTAGACCATAGGACGCTTGAAACGTGACCATAAACTTTTGGCTTCTCGGCGATGAACTGTGCTTGGAAAGGAGTAAATGCTGGTCTAATTTCATGTAGAAATAACCATAAACAAAATCATAATTCCATAACATAGAGATATCTCACTATTAACTATACCGTGCTTTCTTTTCTTTATTCGTTAATCCCTTGGTTAAACAAATTCTTTTTTCAGCCTATGCAATTCTCACAAACGTTCTACAGATGGAGAGTTCACCAGCAAACCCATTGAATATGATCTGCACGAACATTCGCAATCGTCTCGAAAGCAAGTACCAGATCGAAAGCGCTGTGTAAATACATTGTATCATGCCTCCTTATTCCTAGAGGTTGTTTTTCGTCTGTCTTGCATTCAAATTTCGCATATGCCTGTGTACAGAAAAAATATCGTTGCATTTTATGGAATTTTCACTTATCAGTCTGTATATAATTAATTACAATCAGATAACTCGAGATATATCAAGGAATAAAACATTCTAGTCTCTCTGTACAGATACCATAGAGGTAGGGCATTACAATAAGGTAAAATGAGCCAAGGTTTAAGGTTCAGGCTCAATGGCATGCTCTGGGATCACCGCCTGAGGAAGCCATCTTCTTCACTCTCTCCACAAGGCTCTCCGACAATCCATGCTGCTTCTTTAATTCTTCAAGTTCCGAAAAGTCGGTATACCCAGCGCAGTAGGCGTTCATCTACAAGTAGAGAATTTTTCTTGCCTACAAACCTGTTTGCGAGAATAATTTGCACTTACTTTAGCAGCCAAAGTAGTGTCGACGACTTGAGCATCGCTAAGGTTTAACTAAAAAGATAGAATGCGTTAAAGTAGAGTGAAAAACAGACTACGCTTTACCTCGTCAAAGATACGACTGCATCGTAACCAGTATTTCTGATGATAATCTTCGGCTTGATAAAATTTATCCAGCTTTTCTACGTACGTCTCGATATTGCCGTATTTTTTCTGCAAACACTTCATTATATACGATTTCTTGAAGTCAGTTATATGACTTCTAGCTGACTTTGACATTACATTTTACTGTAGCGATACAAAGCTTCTTCCTTCAAGCATTGTAAGATTATTTTGCACAATACGAATGCGCTGCCTCAACTTTAAGTGATATACACGGGTTGAGACCTCTATTTTCATAGCATAGCAAATAGAAGTTTGCCAAAAAAATAGTCAGACAGAGTTTTCTGGTCATCTCCAGGTTAATTCCAATATAGCAATGAGGCCAGATAATGCTATCAAAACTCGAAAAAGACGCGATTGCGATTAGTATGAGTT